AAGAACTAATTATTTTTTACATAAAATGTGTAAACATAGAGGAAGTGGGGTCAGAACAGGGATTTGCCATGAAGAAAGGACAGGGAGTCTATGAATTCTACAAACTAGCAAGATCATATGAAACACGTGTCTGCAGAGCTGATTTAGTTGCTTTTTTTCTTAGAAAAACATGAAAGTAAACTTGAGATAAACCGCATTTAATGAATTCTATGTTGTTGACTGCATCATGAAGAGCTTCAGTGAGATCAGACAGGATGTCACAAAATATAGGGTGCATAGACCACACACACACACACACACACACTGAGTCTGACCATGAAGAACTGGCAGAGGGTGATATGGGGGAAGATGTTGTGCGCCTTATTCTTGCCACAGGAAAGACGGGACTGCTGCCAAAAGAGTGAGAGCTGCTGCAGCAGCGGCCCGCTGGGTCGCAGATATAACACATATTCTCTGGGCAGAGGGTCGTCCAGAAAAGGGTCGTCCACATGGGAGAAGAGCCTGGAGCGACACAAATACAGCTAGTCAGAGTGAAGGTGAGGACAGCTAACGTCCAGCAGAGGGCACTACTGTTGCCACGGCACAGTGACACGTCAATGCAAATGTTAAGCTGGGTCAGGGCCTGTCAGGTTTACAATTGTTAACATTTTCTTTTCATTAATAAGTGTGAGAGAACATTTAAGGAGACGTGTGATTCTCACCAGTCACAAGCTGCCTGCACATTTTTGCCTCCTGTTGAAACCAGAGCTTTCAAGCTGCAAAGAGAAAGAGAGAAGAGGAGGTCAAATCACAGTCAGCAAAATCAATAGATTCTCTTCCGGACCCAGTTTATTAGGAGGAGATTGCTGCACTTCCACGTGTCAGCAAACCGAGAACCCAAGAGAGCTGGGAAATGACAACAAGTGCACTATAATTCACAAAAGGAACAGCATTTCTTAAATCATACCAGAGGTTCAGAGGAACAGCTCTGATATGGATTTGAAACAGTTGTATTGTTTGATGAGAAAACATTTTAAATCTCTGGCTCCACCACCAGTAAAGTGTGTTTAACTGCTCAGTAGATGCATGGAGCTGAATCAGGATGTGGTTAAGTTACAGGTGGGTCAGGCCGCGATAAAGGGTCGTCTCTAAAGAAAACCAGCTCTCAGTCTACGTTTAAACAATTCATTTCTGCTGCAGCAAAAGGTAAACAATATAAAGTTTTCAAAATGTGACAGTGACGCTAAGAAAAATTATAATTAATACCTTGTGTCTTAATATAAACAACAATAAGAAAGATGCAGTGGCCGTGTCCTGAGACGAGATTCAGCTGAGTCATTTCGTTGACTCTAATTTCTCCCGACGTTGCTGAAACAAGACAGAGCGGATAACATGATGACTCTTGAGTGCTCATAATCTAATTAGTGTCTTTTTATAAAACCTCTAGCATTGCGGGCCGCCTCTGAAGGGATTCACTGAGTCGAGCAACTTTCTTCTTTGGATGATGAAAGGAGAATATCTAGACGCAAGTGTAATTATGAAGGTTCACATACATCTCCGGCCTTCTCTCAGCGAATCAGCACATCAGTGGCATACTGTTTGAACACACTACACTCTAATACAGCCTCATCTACAACGATTTGGCAAAAATTACCCGAACAAATGAGTGTGTATACGTTCACAACGTATTCACAACAACAGGACAATATCCAAAGCATTCAGGCGAGATGTGGTGTCTGGGTAGAGAATGCAAGAGGCAGGACTAGATGTATAAAGTCTGCTGTGTAAATCACGTGTTCATCAAAAAAAAAAAGAAAGAAAGTCTTTCTAAGTTGACATCCTCTGCTACGTCTTCTATGTGTATGGCTCTTCTTTTTCCATCCAGAGTTATTTGTATTGTTTTCGGGGGGGGTTTCCAGTTCACATTCACCTGATCAACATTTTCCTACTATATTCTCACATGGGCGTGGTGTGGAGTATAAAATATTTAATTTCAGGTAAAAAACTAAAGACATAATGCCTGGCTATGTGCGTTTTTATTATGAAGCAACAGAAAATGAGGTGCACATCGTCTCCACAGCCTTTAACGTTTAAAACTCAACCGCAAGTCATGCAAGGCCGTCTCCTTTCAGCTCCACTTCTTTGTGTGAACTACAGTGAAATGCAAAGCCAAACACAAAAGCTCCATACTGCTGCTGTGCTTTATTTGCTGCTGTTAAAAACAGCATTGCCTGTCACTGTTCAGACCGGTTGTTCTCATGAGTAGAAAATAATAATCTATAGTTGAGGTTACAGTTAAGTGAGTGAGCAGAAGCTGTGTTGATTTGTACCATTGCACATCCACTGTTTGACTTAACACAATATTGTGTTGTCAATGTCAACAGTATCCACTGTGCCACTCTAGCGTTCAAATCCAATGAGCCATTTTAAATGTGTCCCACTGAGAGGGTCCTAAATAGAGCAAAGTCCCCACAGCCTGGGGCAGTGTGTCCTGACAGAGCACAGAGCGCAGGGAACTCCAACGCTACAGCATCAAAGCAGATGGCTCACACAGATCTACTATAGCATGTGCACACAAATATGAAAATATGCAGGTTGAAATGAAATTGAATATAAGCTACAAAGAGACAGAAGCACAGTCTCTGAAAACGTTGGCTGTTTACAGACATGCTGATAATCTCCTTAAATTATTCAGAAAGGCTGAATCTGAGAACACGAGTGTCAGAGTCGGGCAATCGCTGCAGATTCTCCTGACAGCCATCCTGTAAAAACTCCACAGACTTTCTGACAGGACCATGTGAGAATACAGATGGAAAATTACCAGAGAATTCAACATGAGCAAGTGGGCGTGAGGATGATAAAGATGTACCATACACAGATGATGTCAACTTGGAAAGACCACAAGATACTAGGCCCTTTGGTGATAAGAGTAAGCGCAGGTGTCAATGTGCTGTAAACAAAGCGTTATTTCCACAGCAGAATTTAGACGTCCTTTTCTGCCTCCTACATTCTCTACCCAGACGCCACCCCCCCTCGCCTGAATGCTCTGGAGATTATCCTGATGTTGTGAACTGATCCGAACAATCTCTTGCTGCGTTCTTCATGTGTGAACGGCAAAGTCCGGACCCCATTGACAGCTTGATGAGGAAAGAGATGTGGAACACCAATGTCAATAAAAGCTCCTCTTCCTATAACAGCAAAAGAGTGCAATTCAAGACATTACAATAAGATGAATTCATACAGCAAGTTTAATGTTTTAAGTAGAATTCATAACATGCTAGTAGAAGTTATTATAGTCTTTCTTATAAATATAACTGAATCAACAATTTAACATATCACAGAATAAGACATCAACTGTTCATAACACTAGTCACAAAAGATTTTTAAAAAACATACATTTTGTCAGAGCTTCCGTCTGCACAAACACGGACTGCAACATATTGCAAGTCTACATTTTTTCAACACCGAAGCCCTGTGGTTTAATGACAGATCTGCAGCTGATCCACTTTTTGTTTCCCACAATGCTGCAGCCGCAAATTATTTTCATTGTTGATAATTATTTTATTTCTTAATGAATGTATGTGTATTTGAAACTGTGACAAAAACTTCAGCACACCCATTTGTCCCATAGGCACAGACAGTTATCTCTCTTAACTATTGTTTCTGACAATAATAATTTACTGATGATGCGAAAATTGCAGATAGACCAAGGCTTGGGTATTGATGCCCCTTCTGACCATTCTAATGCATGGTTGACTTTGAGTGACTACCTGCCAACGTCCATTGGGGGCCCCAGGCAAAAAGGACCTGGGGGGGGGGCCCCCTTGTGTGCAGCTGGCAAACTAGACTGTGCACCCTAGACTGTGCACCCTCAGGTGCATCTGTAGAAGCACTTGAGGGTTTGGCTTGGCCACATTTTCTCAACTTCCTCAAGAAATACTGATATTGTCGGTACTCCCTCACCAGGTGCAGGTCAAGGTGAGATAGACAGAGATGTGAACACCAAGGAATTTAAAAGTGCTTGCTCTCCGCCTCAGTCTATCTAATGTGCAGTGGTGGGTGTCGCTTCCTCTGTGGGTAAATTATCATCTGCTGATGTTTAGGGAAAGATATTTGTCCTGACACCCCTTCTCAAGACCAGCCAGCTGCCTCTTGCTTGCTGACTCATCAACCCCAGACATCAGTGCAATAATCATCAGCAAGTTAGATGATTTGACCTTGTTTGGTCTACTCAAGAACTGGAGTGGGTACAATGTGTCCATTACAATAATCTGGATGTAATCAGGAGGATTCTCTCAAAGCTATTTCTTCACTATAGGAGTTTGTGCAATGGGCCGCAAGAGGCTGAGACATCCTTTTTCAGTGGTCCCTCAATGGTTGTTTTACAGCAGGTGTGGATTGAGGTTTGTGACAGGGACAAGTCCACACAGCATCGATGAGCAGATTTTAAGCTCTTGTCCAGGAATGTTTTTGCTACAGCTGCAGATGGGATTGAGTCTCTCTCTCTCGTTCTATGCTGAGAACCTCAAGTGGGCTCCAGATTGTTAAATTCACCTGCTGTGCTGTCGGTCAGTGATCTCACTCTTGTTTCTACCTTTGTACGCCTGAGTCTAGTTCCTTCCCTATTGTCCCTGCCACATGTCTTGGATGTTAGCAGTGGTGTAGTGACCCTAATTTCCCAGAGTAGAAAAAGGTCAAACTAACTTTCTTAATAACTTTCTTTTTTTTCTGTTTCCATTTCCAGAGGCAAAAGAAATGTGGGACACCAACATCTCCAGAGACAGAAGGAGAGGAGTAGCAGGGAGCTGCAGAGTGACGACAGGAGATGGAGCAGTGCCGGGCAGAGTTAGCAGAGACGTTCCACAGGCAACTTCTCTCCCTTATGAGCCAGCAAGTTTTGGCCAGGAAGCTGGGACATCCTGCACCACAGCTCTGTGCATAACATCTGCTGTTTGATCATTTTGTCATTTTTATTTAATCAACTCAATATTTTTCTGACGAAGAGGTTGTTTTTGCTGAATTGAGTTGAAAAATGTGCTTGATAACTGCATCCAACCCCAAGACTTCCCCTTTGCTCTTAGCAAGAACTAAACAAGTTATTTATAAACTGCATTTCCTGTTCACAGCTAGAAAAAGATAAAAATATTACAGACAGCCGGGGACAGAACTCAGTCTTGATTAGGTATGGCTTCAAATCAGCAGCACTGTATGAGTAAATGACAATGACTATTATTAGATGAGAGCCTCTGGATTTCACCCACATATGGCAAATGTGTTCAGTTCCCTTTTCTAACCCTACAACAGAGCAAATATTCTGGCTTCCTGGTATAAACACTTTTTGGGCTGTTTATTATAGTTGAACTTTTACCTAGACTTAGACTTTTTCCATGTTTCATAAAAAGTTATTACATGGGGGAGAGTACCTGGGATTCTTGCAAACATTCTGTTCTTATTCTTCTGATAATGAAATAATGTCATGCCTTTCATGGTTAGATATTATCCAAGAAAGAACAAGGAGGTAATATTATAAAATAACAAGTGGATTAAAATGAGCAAAACTATGCCTTCCTGGCAATACACTCATGTGAAGTTGTAGCTACACGCTCTTAAGGGCCCCTCCCTGACTCAGCTCTAAGGGCGATTCAACATTTCCTGTTTACAAGCCGATGGCGAACACACATCACAAACCACTTATCGCACTAGAGCACTGAGAGCACTGCTGCTGCCCGACACCAGACTGCTCCCTAAGGAGACCCCAGTCAGCTGAGGAAATGTG